GACATTACAGCGACTTGATCTCGTGAGGCTTGTTTGTTTTTGAATTTTAGGGTTATTCTAGCGCTCTGCAGTAGAGGGCTGCATTCTATGGGATCTCATACCAAAGGCACGATAAAGGCCAAGTTTTATGTTAACACAAAGTTTTTTTAGACCATACTCTGAGACATGAAGTTGGTCTTCCTTCAGTGGGTTAGGAGAGTCTTGGGATGACCCGGCAGCAGAGATGGCACGGGAATATATAGTTCTAATAGTGTATAAAAAAGAATAATCTCAAAATATAACACTAAACATTTCACATAGCCATGTGCCTACGCGTACTGCGTGCCGCGCTTGTTTCACGCAAGCGAGAGGGCTCTGGTTAGAGCGAATGTTAATACATATAGTATAATTAACAAAATACGCAAACCGTTAATTTATTGATCCATAAATTTTTAAATTCTTTATATTTTCGTATATAAAATTATTTTTGCAAACTATTGACCGGGGACTCTACAATTAAAAATTTATGGATCAAGATTTTAATGGTTTGCGTATTTTGTTTACATATATTTAAATGGTTCCTATTTAAAATCGCGGAAATTGTCAAAATAGATATAATTTTTGCGCGATCCTCGTTTTTGCTCTGTTTAGTGTTATATTTTGAGATTATTCTTTTTTATACACTATTAGAACTATATATTACAGATTATTTTATGAAATATGTTTGAACAACAAACAATTTCAAATGATAATTTTTGCGCGCCGCGCATTTTGTCAACGCTTCATTAACAAAAATCCTTTGGAATCGAGCGCCAATGCAAATTTAGTAATTTTCATGAAATATATCTTGGAGTTATTTTAGTCCTTTTGTTAGGTTCTGCATTTTATTTATTTCTGATAAACTGGCTGGAAGACGACTATCAAGCTGATTATCAGTAGCTATTAGAGGCAATTTTAAATAATAATTATGATTGTGAACTTTTAAACTTCTCTTAATTTAGGCTTCAGCGTCCGAGTATTGATGCACTGTCTCGACAGATTTCTATCCTCCATACGTCCCGTGATTTCTCCAGTGTTACTCAAACCCGTATCAGCCCTTAGGCTATCAACATAAGTTATGACTGTTCTTCCCCTGCTCAGCACACCATGGTTAGGTTCATTAAGTACCCCACACTTAGCAACTAGTTCAAGGTGCCAGTGTATATGGCAAAGCCCCCAAGGTACGTTTTCCAGCTGGTTTCCAGAACAGCTTTAAAGTCTACTTTCCTCTGTAGTGTTTAGAGTCATGAGATTTGTTTTAGAGTTGTTCAAGACTAACCCCACACTTTTTGCTGCTTCCTATAGCCTGTCCAGGAGTAGTTTTGCCCCATTCAATTATATCAGTGATAAGGGCACCATCATCTGAGAATTTGACATATGCGATATTTTCAGCACAAATCCATCTACACCCTGTGCAGGCTTAAGAGTGGGCACTATCCGTCGCGGAGTCGAGTCCGCGGCGGAGCCGCCGGACTCCGAGCGGACTCCGAGCGGACTCCGAGCGGACTCCGAGCGGACTCCGGCGGAGCCGCCGGACTCCGAGCGGACTCCGGCGGTGCTCCGCCAAAATGTATTTACAGTGGACTCGAGTACATTTTGGCGGACTCCGAGCGGAGCCGAGCGGACTCCGAGCGGACTTTAAAGTCCGCCGCGGACTCCGAGCGGCTCCGCGGCGGCTCGGCGGAGTGTCCGCCGCGGACTAAGCCACTAGGCGGACTCCGGTCCGCCGCGGACTCCGGCGGAGTGCTTGGCGGACTCCGCCGGACCTCTCCGCCAGACTTGAATCCGGCGGAGTCCGGCGGAGCTCGGACTCCGCTCGGACTCCGCTCGGAGTCCGCCGGACTCCAACAGAGTCCACTGACTTCCGACCTCCGACTTCCGACTTCCGACCCTCGGCTAAATTTGTCACGTGACATACAACATAGCATTTTGCAATAATGCTATGTTCGAGCTCCGATCGTCCTGTGACGAAGTAAGGACGAAGCCTGAGGTCCTCAGGTAACATCGACCACCGATTGAAAATTCAAAGATTTTTTGACATAAAGGTCAAATGTAAAACTAAAATCTTGATGTTGATTGATTGACGACGTCAATTTTTGAGCACAGCGCGAGCGCATGCGGAAAAGGACCGCGTAGCTAGTCAAGATGTTGATAAATATTTGGCTTGTGGCGCGATGTGTTGCTCTAACTATAGCCCTCTCGCTTGCAGTAGCGCGCGACCGCCGGAGGCGGAAATGACCTGGTTAGCTAGGTAAACGCGATGTGCCTTGTAGGATGAAATCCTACTAGCTGACGCCATTTGCAGCTGTGCTGCTCGCTGTACGTCAGCGATCGAAATTTATACGCGTATCCCCCGTTAAGATGTGCCACTCGACGCGCCACACAATTTTTCTCGTTGCTCGTCGCACGTCGACGAACAACGAAGCTCGTTGTGACGCGCCGCGCAATGAGCTGCCAGGCTAGGACATCGTCCTGGTCCAACAAATTTTGGCGAGCGATTTTCTCCAAAAATTTAATGAGGGCGCCGACTTCCACTCTAGCTAGGTTTCTTCTTACCCAGCGCGCGTTCCTTAATGGGATGAGGTAAAATTAGGTAAAAAGAATCCACTGACTTGGCCAGAGTGCTTTCATAAAACTCTATTACTAGCTTGGCGTTGTAGGATTATATACTTTAATTTCGGATCGAGTGAAGCGAGTGATACACATTACTTTGATTAACCTCATGCTGATCACAATACAGTACAGGGAAGTGGGTAACACGGCTTGCAGTCGCAGCTGCGACTCCTCGCTGGCGGTAATATTTCAATGAACAAGAATTAAGAAAAAGATAATTTAAGAAAAAGAGAATTTTATTTGCCACAGAATAATCAATCTTGACTAGCTACGCGGTCCTTTTCCGCATGCGCTCGCGCTGTGCTCAAAAATTGACGTCGTCAATCAATCAACATCAAGATTTTAGTTTTACATTTGACCTTTATGTCAAAAAATCTTTGAATTTTCAATCGGTGGTCGATGTAACCTGAGGACCTCAGGCTTCGTCCTTACTTCGTCACAGGACGATCGGAGCTCGAAGAGCGTAGAGAGTGCTGGCTGGCGTCGTCCTGTGATGGTCGACGTACTATTTTTGCTTGCTGGGATCCGGCCGAATGACGCCACATGCAACGTGTAGGGTAAAACTAAAAACGCTTCCCTATATGAGATAATATTACAAAAATTGTTTTGGTCACGTGACCAGTCAATGACATTGATATTTCGCTGCTGACGGTTTGGTGGAGGGTTAGGGTCAACGTTTATACATTATAGGGTCAAAGTTAGGACTAGAGTCGTACACTATTGACATTGTGAGGGTAATGGTTAAGGTTTATCACTAGCGACCTTTTCATCTGGCCATATTGCAAAATGCTATGTTGTATGTCACTTGACGGATGTTACTCGTCTAAATTTCTTCGAAGTAGCGCGCGCCGCTTTCTTCTCGAAATGTTAGACGGGAGAGAAACGAAAGATCGAGCGCTCAACTTAGCGCAAACTTGACTAATATCGCGCGTTACCGCGAGCACATTATATCATTTCAGCATATTGTGACACTGTGACAGCACAGATACTGGACAGAGTTGATATGAACGTAATCTGGTAAATTCGCTATATCGATTGAGTTCTTCATTATGTTGGCATTCAATAAATAGGCTTGGTTAATTTTAAGCGGTCTGTTTAAGCAGAACAAGAATTCTAATACATTTCATCCCATCAATAACTCAATACAGTCAATATAAGTATGCCATTTGCCAATCACCGTTATCAACATGCACAACAGTTATAAGTTAAGTTTAATCATCCACGATCAATTACAAAAGCCAAATATATGATAAATAACATATGAAATATAAACAGTAAAGAGTAAATTCCACACGTACAAACTACAAATACGAGACACCCAAAATACTTTCAGTGCAGCTATCACAGATAATGCTGAAAAATTGCATATTACAAGCCGGGTTCACGGGCTTCCTGAAACATCGTATGTACATGCAACCCACTGTCATAGTTGTAATATATATATATAATTATATTGGTAGAGGTAAATCCTATCATAATTGAAGGGTTGGGATTGTGTTCACATTTCACAAATATTTGAAGGTTATTGTCTATCAAGTACAGGGTGGGCCAAAAGTTAGTGTGCAAACGTTGGGTTTTATACCTCAGCTCCGCCGTGTTTTATATTTGAGAGCTGTTGCTTTGCAGATGGCATACTGTACTTACTGGTTCGAGGATTCCGTCGTCAAAATTTAAAATTCGAATATTTTAGACCACGCCCATTCAATATCAAACACCTATATTGTTTTCTCTGAACATGCTGAACGCCTATTTTTTTCAGAGACGGTAGATTATTAAATGTTGCATATGATCTAAAAACATGAGGCAAAACGGATTAGAAATGAAGAAGTTATCAAGCATTTTCTGTATCTCGTTAACAATATTGACTGGGTGATTATGTGACACCGTGACACGACACCTTAATTGGGCACCCTTAACAATTCCCATAATGTTTAACGGGGTAACCTTATCTGCACGTGATTAGGTAAACCAATCACCTGATCACACGTAATGAATAAACTCGTTATGCTTCATATCTCGGTCATCTGAGAAGCTACAGTTCTAATTCTTTCAGGACAAACGTAATTCGAATGGCCAAACACAATTCAATAACATTTAGCTTGATCCGACTATCCAAACTATCAAATAAATGTGAAAATGAACCTCCATTTGAAAAAAATGAACGCGAATATTTTTCGAGTTGACAAATTCCTCGAACCAGTGGTGGTACTAAGTCATACCAGAAGGAAGTATTTCAATTGGGCACTCAGTGACTGAGCTATTAAGGCCAACGTTTGCACACTGACTTTTGGCCCACCCTGTATTACATGTTGATGTAGCATTAAAGTAGAAGGAATGTCCAATCGTTGATCTGTATACCATTTGACCAAGTTTGATGTCTTTCGTTTTTCATCATGAAGCATACTTTAGTCTGATCAAGCTGAATTTCTGATCTCCGGTTGCCAGTCGTTGCCTGCGCCCTGCAGTCGACCTGTAACAAAATCAGAATATTATTGATAGAACTAATAAGATTGAAGAGAAAAATTCGAATCCCTCTGTATCTCAGTAAAAAATTTGATGTTCAAATGTTTTAAAGTCATTCAAGGAACGGAATCTTTTTTAATTTATACATGCAATTTATACAATTTATACATACTTCAATAGTTAAATCTTGATCTCAAACTTAACTAGAACTTGTCTTAGTTTGAACAGCAGTCTGACTGAGGGCAAGAGTAGGTTATAGGGATTTCAGAGTTCAGACACTGAAACTCTAGGTACCTGAAAATAATAAATGTTACTCAACGTTAGTTATTGGTTCTTTGCACACCATCAATTTGGCGGCAATGCAGATTCACAGGGTGATCCAAAACAACCCGGAAACTTAGACCCTAGCTCATAGCTAGACAGTACGTTACGCGTTACGTAGTCGATTACGTGATGGAGTCTTTGTTCTGCCTTGACAGCACGTATTGCAGTACGTGATTCAGTATTTGATACTAGCTAGTCAGCACGTATTGCAGTACGTGATCCAGTATTTAATAATAGCTAGTCAGCACGTATTGCAGTACGTGATCCAGTATTTGATACTAGCTAGTCAGCACGTATTGCAGTACGTGATCCAGTATTTAATACTAGCTAGTCAGCACGTATTGCAGTACGAGATCTGCAGTATTTAATAATAGCTAGACAGCACGTATTGCAGTACGTGATCCAGTATTTGATACTAGCTAGACGGCATGTATTGCAGTACGTGATCCAGTATAAAGTATTCGATCCTAACTATTATACATTTATAGAGTATAGACGGCACGTAACGCGTCACCTGATCATCTTAAGAATTATACTGAGCTTGTCCATAAAGCATAAATCAATAAATGTTGAAGTCTTGCAAAATGTCCAACACTAATCTATTTTGAATTGTGTTATTTATGTGTTTAATTTGAATTTAGATTATAATGGAAGTCCGTTCGTTTCAAATAAATCATCCAAACCTCGTGAGTACTAAGTTCACTGAACAATTCATAATTAAATTGAAAGTAATGAACATCGGACAAGATATAATACGGAAATAGATAATTTCTCGTTTGTCAATCAAAGTACTGCCGACTTTACGTCATGAAAATGTGCAAGAACTGAAAGAGTCGAGGTACTCACGCATTATAATTAGAGTTAGACTGTGTCTAATTAAAGTACGTGAGTACCTGGACTTGTCTAAGACACGCACTGCAGTTCGAAAACTAAAGGCTTAATTGACAGCTTGCTTGGGATCCATTGTGGTTGCTTGTTAAATTTAGTGTACATAATAATACAATATTATTTACCAGTACAGTAATTATTAGAATTATCAAATTTTATATGAATGTGACTACGTAATCTGACAAAATGTTTTGAACAAATCCAATGAAACGACAGAGTCGAACTTCAGTTCATACCGTCCAGCTAAAACAAAGACTTGATAAAGTAACACGGTCTGAGGTGATATTCATATACTGCAGTACGAAACAGCTGTAATGGTCAATGGATTCTTTGGTCTTAGCTAGACGGTATGTAACGTGTTCAATTATGTTTCGCGTTAAGTATCGTATAGCTAGAGTTTAATAGTAAAATAAATTAATAAACTGAATCGAAACAGTTAACTTCAGTAATTACGCTAGTTAATAATGGTTACAGTAGTTGCTATCATGATAGTATACAAAAAATATAAGATCGTCAAGTCAACCGGTGTAAGAACGAATATGTTTTAGGGTTTTTAAATTGTGGTTACCTTTCTGTGGAATTATAACTTTCGATCGATTATTCGTTCTAGGGATAACTGAAAACTAGGGATAACTGTACCATTCTAAAACGGCTAGAGCCAAGTTTGCCACACGATGAAAAGATTCGCCATAATCTTACTATATATAAAGCGAGACGATATATATGGATGTGTATATCCGTACCATTTTACTGACACCACGGCATCAACTTTAACGCGACTTTCCGTAAAAGATATACAACTGATACTTTTTTGACTGGGTCAAATGCTTTAATGGCCTCCAAATCAGCATGAAAAAACAAAAAATTGGCCAAGGAATACGAGTTTTAGAGCCCAAAATTTGAACCCCCAAGTGGTGTCAAAAACGCGAATTAAATAGGTAATAATTATTTAGTCTCTTGAGTCTTGACACTATTTTAGGGTTATACGGGTTCCTGCTAGTAAGATTAAAACGCTAGACATCTTAAAAGATGGTTTACTTTTCGATATAATTATAATATTGGTTTACTTTCAGTTTCATACCAAACACATATCAGTATACTACTGTTATTTGAATGTAACTGTAACATTTGCTATCACTGTAACAATCTACAGTGAAAGCACGAAAGTATAACCTACGAACGCAAAATCGTCTGATTGGGTGTTATTCTCTAAATTAATAAAAATTTAGTTGACAGCCACCTATAATAAGTAGCAGTAATTTAATAACTTGCCTGTCCACATAGCGAATACTGATGTGAGATGTCGTCTGGTTATTGGTATCGTCGAGTCCATGATGTTTATCATCTTACACTTGATTAACCCTTGCTATTAAATAAATATAATTAATGCAAGATTATAGAATAACTTACTTACCTTAATAACGACAAATTTTGAAAACAGGCAACGTTACGCCACTGCATATATGAATTAAATTTTATTGAGCTTACATTCTTTATCATGTGTTTATGATATTGATATTGATAACAGTTACATATCGCTAACTGTACACATAACAGGTCCCGCCTATACTGCGTGTAATAAGAAATTGTATGCTATGATATGTAACTAATGTGTGTAACATGTTAATGGCTCGCCGTTGGAATGTTCCCAGGACCCAGATCAAGAATATTCCTCCTTACCAAAATACGCACATATGGTGTGAGTTACAGGATCACGATAAGGTTGATAATTTGTCCACGTGACCGTTTGGCGCGCGGTGTGCACGTGGGCCCATGGGAAATAAATATTCTACAAGGCAAATAAGTCTCTTACATCACGTGGAATTTATAAGTCTAGCCTGTTTGTCGCCATGGAAACAGAGGATTATCGTAAAAGTATTAATGCAAGGTTTTACAATATTAATAATAATATCGAAAGCGCCCTAGATGTAGGATTTTTTAAAACAGAACAATTAAAGTGAGCAGAACTACCATACTTTAGCTTTAACAGCCATAATATAACCAAGTTAACTGCAGTACCCAATATGGTACTAATATGTCGTCATTTTAAACACAGTACGGTGCAGAATGCAGATTGATGACCCTTCACTAATCACTATATATATTATGTATGTTATATCATAAAACTCAACAGCAAGTCGTAAGAGAAAATTATGGTCGCCATGGCAACAAGGAGGACGGAGGTGTATCGAATTTATTAACATTTAGCTGCTGGGCGTGTTAATGTGTTATCACATATTCATGGGCAGTTACATTTTAAGAGTAATAATCATGATGTAAATTGCAGATTGATGACCCTTCACTATATTATGTTATATCATAAAACTCAACAGCAAGTTGTAAGAGAAAATTATGGTCGCCATGGCAACAGGGAGGACGGATGTGTATCAAATGTATTACCATTTAGCTGCGGGGCGTGTTAATGTGTTATCACATATTCATGGGCAGTTACATTTTAAGTGTAATAATCATGATGTAAATTGTAAAGTAGAACCGTTGTATTAAAACTGTCCAGAAGTGTAGAATTTATAGATCAATAGAGTCGGATAAAGGAATGTATCATAACAAATTCAGGCCAGATAAGAATCTAGTACAGAGATAAGTTCGACACTGCAATTAGGGTCGGAGAATGTAAGTTATCCACAAGGTTTGTACAGGCGTTAATTATAATATAACCAAGTAAACTGCAGTTTGATACTTATTCTTCAACCTAACAATCTCAATTCTCATGCCTTGAATCCGAGTCCCATTATAATCCGACTAGAATTTCCAATGATGAAACAGATCATGTTAAATCGTATAAAACAATTCAGATGAAAAGACTATAATTAATTAATTGTAGTCTATTTACATTTATTTAGGGTTACAGATGGGGTTACAGATGGGGGAGGGTGTTATCACATTGTCATGAGCAGTCGCATTTTCAGTGTAATGATATCATAGTTATGATTGCAGTAGTGTCAACCGTCATTTTAAAACTGTGCAGAAGTGTACAATTGATATCAATAGATTCGGATAAAGGGGGAAGGGGTGGACCGTGGGGGATATGTAATGTTGTAGCTTATTAGCCCGATGTATGATCGAATCAAAGCATATTAGCCATAAAAGTGAACAGAACTACTTCTTAGGTTTAACTTATCTCTGTAGAAAATTATGGTTGCCATGGGAACAGGGAGTACTGTCAAATGTATTACCATTTAGCTGCGGGGCGTGTTAATGTGTTATCACATATTCATGGGCAGTTACATTTTAAGTAACTGTAAAGTGGAACCGTTGTATTAAAACTGTCCAGAAGTGTAGAATTTATATCAATAGAGTCGGATAAAGGAATGTATCATAACAAATTCAGGCCAGATAAGAATCTAGTACAGAGATAAGTTCGACACTGCAAGGGGCGGAGAATGTAAATTATCCACAAGGTTTGTACAGGCGTTAATTATAATATAACCAAGTAAACTGCAGTTTGATACATATTCTTCAACCTAACAATCTCAATTCTCATACCTTGAATCCGAGTCCCATTATAATCCGACTAGAATTTCCAATGTTGAAACAGATCATGTTAAATCGTATTAAACAATTCAGATGAAAAGACTATAATTAATTAATTGTAAAGAGTTTGGACGGAGCTGATGTTGGATGTTGTTAACGAGTTCATCGCTACAATGATTATTCAGAAGATATGTTATGAATTTCGAAGTAACATAGCAAGAGCTCATTGATGATTATAGATTAAGCGTAAAATAAGATGTCAGCTTAAAGTTCTGATTTAAATCATGACTAATTTCTTTAGTCAATCATATAATATAGTAATACCACAAGCAATGCTAAAAACAGTAAACAATAACATGCAGATGGAATAAAAACCTAACATTATAGTATCGATTGATCATTCAAGTGGGCGTGATAATACGAAGTAAATAAACTGTTGATCGATGCCAAAATGCAAAAGCTCGACAACATCTGAGAGAAATACAATTCTAGGAGGAATGGAACAGATGTGAACAGCAAATAAGATTGCTCAGTTATATGGCACATATTTCAGCTCAGTTATGTTAGGGCATGTAGCATTGGCAAAA